ATTATAAAGGCATTGCCCAGGCCACTACTAGCAGGTGCTGTAGAGGATTATAAAGGTATTGCCCAGGCTACTACTGGCAGGTGATGTAGAGAATTATAAAGGTATTGCCCAGGCTACTACTGGCAGGTGCTGTAGAGGATTATAAAGGCATTGCCCAGGCTACTACTGGCAGGTGCTGTAGAGGATTATAAAGGTATTGCCCAGGCCACTGGTCGCATAAGGCTCTCTTACAACAGATCTCAAGGCAGGGTATTTTTGTTGTGGCCCTACACTTTCAATGCTGCTCAAAGCATCTCGGAAGGGGGTAAGGAGTACCGACAATTGACCACTGCAACGTTAACCTGGCCGATTGGCTTCACCGTGGTGCGTCTACATTATAAACCTGCTGCTGGGGGTGCAAGGGAGGCATTGAAGAGAATTGCCACCCATTGCTTCAACTACTGGGTCAGGATGGAGGAGGGATAGGTTCAAACCGGTGATGTTAAACGTCTTTAATCGGAGGTGCGGGGGAAGGACAACAAACTAAACACAAAGATATGTTTTTCAAGAAATTAGTTTGTCAATCTCGATGATAAAAAGTGCATAGCTCCCAGTGGCTTCCTAATACCGGAAGAGCGTTCCAGATGGCCGCAGAAACACACCCGAAAGTGCGTGATGGGGTGTGCCAGTCCATGGGTCTGCCCGATGAGTCTATGGGTTTCTGTGTGATTATATGGGTCTCTATGCATGTATGTAGGACTTATTTTTGTACCGTACATAGCCAATCGGAGGTGTGGGGGAACGACAAACAAACTCTGTGTCGTATGTCAAGCGTGTGCTCACCATCGAACCACCGCAGCATCCCCAGATAAGGCACAGTACAGTACTGTATACCATACGCATCTATTTGAAGATGCTGTTGCTGCGTTGTCAGTGGTGCATAAGCACAAATGACAGCAAAAATCAACACATTCGTTAATAACACCGTGGCTTTAAGAGGAAAATATATTTATACACAATAGCCGACGATGCAGGTAATAGCCCTTCCCCATCGCACATAAATCAATGATGGACGGGTATAAACGCGCTATTAGAGAAGGGATATTCCCCAAAACGTCACCTATTATACATATTTCATTTTAAGGCTACAGTGTTATTGATTAATGTGTTGAGGGGTTTGTATATTATGCTAGTACTGTTTAGCTTTTTAAAGACATTTGCTGACATGTTTAAGAGACTCCTATCATTAAACACACAGACAAAAACAACTGCATACAAATTATGCACAAGTAGTAATGTATTCATATGTTCATTCATTTAAAAATGTTTACCAGCTGACAGCCAATAGTCACATATTCAACGCACGACTATTATTATGCTGGCATCAAATCAATCCTTGCCGTGCAGCAACATTCACTTGATGTAAAACACTCTTGTTGGCGTTAATGACGTGATCTAGGAGGCGTCGAGGTGGTGGAAAACGCCGGCTGCTCATTTAATGTTCCCGTCTGCCCCCTCTCTACTGGACATCTGTAAAAATAAAAGAGCTTTAGAGCTCATCGGATTCATCCGGTACAAATAAATATTCAGATTCTGATTAACAAACTGTGTCAGAGCACCGAGCCAGCACGGCTGGTAGGATATGGGTTTGAGTCCGGGTTTAAGCCAATCCATCCTTAAACCAAACAGAATCATTTGGTGATGCTGCTGCTGGTGCTGCTACATTGGCAGTGGTCCACAAACACGATTAACAACCACCACAACAACGTTCCTCAATAACGCCGTGGCCTTGGAAAGAAAAAAATATATTAAAAGGCGACGATTTTTGAACAATGGCCCTTTTGCTCACTCCCCTGGGCTTCCCGTGAGCTTTGAAGGAGATCCACTGCCCGAAAAGTGGCCTCTTGTACATTAACACCGTTGCCTACGTACTGTGCGAAAAAAATTCAGCATACATATTTATTTTCTTTTACGCAGTGTTACTGTTCAGTTTTTTACAATCAAACCAGAGTCTTTATTAGGTGTATAGGAGTTGATGGTTTTAGACCGGCTATCAATGTCCACACAACGAACCGCCGTGATGAGACTTGGTTCACATGTATAGTATAAATGCTGCCTACTACACAGTACAACCTTGGCATCTATGCCTTTAAAATACGTAGACCAACCATGAGGGTGTTTATTTCTGTCCTCAATTGGCAGCCAGGTTTTCTTGTTAGATAGGAATTTGTAAGCCACACCTACAATGCATAGGAGTGCATGTTAATCAAAATACTGCAATGCGGCTGGGTAGGTAGATGTAAGGAACTGTTATATTGCACCATGCGTACAGATTTAAACAGTACGTTAAATACAATTGATACAATTATAGTAAAGTGTACGTGTCAAATTACACATTTCCCTTGTACATGCTCGGAATACGTATATGCGTTTCATATTTCACGTGCAGCGTTACCGTATTACAGTTTATACAATCTGGAGAGGTGTGTTTGGAATTACATGAAATTGACTTAAGGATATTAAGTGAACTTGGGTAGAACACATTGCTACAAGGGGTGGGCTCAAGACAGGGATGAGGGTTCCAGCCACGTGTTTACTGAGATGGCATCCTCAGGTGAGATCACATCCCAGCGGAGTGTCCCCTGCGGAGATGGATTGTGACATCGGAAGGACTGTGAGATGATACATGCTTGGGAAGGCCTTCAACTAGCAGTGGATAAGACAACGGCTCATTATGATGAAGACAGCATGAGGCCTTCATCAAGCAGTGGACAGATCCATGCCTGGTGATGATTATGATAGAGTAGTACTTGCATGTGCATAACCATCGTTGTGTGTGTCTGGTGAGTGGTGATGCAGCAGGTAGCGCGCTGCGTAAAGAACCCAACAATCCAAGTTGGATTCCCACTCCTGGGCCTTTGGTCGATTCTGCCTCAAAATGAGAAGCTGGCGCGTGTGTATGAACATCGCCACTGAGGAGACAAAGGCGGCCGGGCGTGGTGCTGCCCACTCACCCCCTCGTGTGCCGTGCCGGCACCTGCATAGGTGCTCGCAAACTGCACTTGCCCCAAGAGTCTGTTAAAGGCTATCACAGGTGATCTTTGTCTGGTCTCGCAATTGTTTGCATGGAAATGACCAAGGCGTGCTCCATTTGCTGTACAGGGGACATTCAATACTATGACGTCATCACCCATGGGTTGTCGCCCCATTGTGTGCCTTTGACGTCATATTCTTAATATGCACAGCCCGACACTTTACACATTTTGAAGCCAATTAATGAAAACAGGCGGCGGCCACGTGGCTCGACCCCAAGGAACAGCAAATGAACATTGCTGTACTGTGTGGCTACGCTCCAACGTCGATGCTCTCTGCCTTCAACACGCACCAGACCCAGGAGTGGTGAAGTATGGTGTCAAATAACCCCGACGACCCTTCACGGTGCGTATGGAGGCCGTCATCCAGCAGTGGATTGACAAAAAATACCTATTGTACTGTAACAAATGGAACATCGGACATGGTATCCCGTCCAAGTACAATCGAGTGAAGGATCTCCACTTGTAAAATATTGATGTAAGAGTGAACAAATCGAAGACATCAACGTTTAAATAAACGTGAGATTTCATGACGATCATTCACAGCCCTCTGTCAATCTATTGCCTGGCCATACTTCACCACCCTGGTCAATGCGGGTTGAAGGCGGGCCAACCCAGAGCCGGTTCAGATATCACTCGCCACTGACGTTAGCCGTGACAAGGAATCGAACGCGAGTCGCTTGGTTAATAGCGCAGTGCGTCAACCACTGTGCCACCACTCCCCCTTCCCCAAAACACAACGGGGTATTATCGCAGTAATGCAATCATACAAATCAAGAGACGGCAATTATGAGTATGTTTTTTTAAACACGACTACATACTCTGATGGTGAAGGCGAAATAGTATTTGTGTAAGTCTTACGCCGAAAACCAATCGAATTTAACCATGAGCTCAACAAATGTGAGCGCAAGATGTGTGCAGCAGCAATCATCAAAATAATCATCAGCGCCGATCAATCCACTGCTGAAAGAAGCCCCCCCACCGCCCCCCTAAAATGCTCTGCACCCAAGGCATGGATAGCCACGCAGCGGAGCAACGAATTTTCTTTGTGTGCAGCAAGGAAATTAGCATCTGGCATCCACCACCACCATCATCACCACAAGCACTACCGTCACCACCACCGTTATTACCACCACCATCACCACTACCGTCACCACCACCGTTATTACCACCACCATCACCACTACCGTCACCACCACCGTTATTACCACCACCATCACCACTACCGTCACCACCACCGTTATTACCACCACCATCACCACTACCGTCATCACCACCGTTATTACCACCACCATCACCACTACCGTCACCACCGCCGTTATTACCACCACCATCACCACTACCGTATCACCACCGTTTATTACCACCACCATCACCCCACTACCGTCATCACCACCGTTATTACCACCACCATCACCACTACCGTCATCACCACCGTTATTACCACCACCATCACCATTACCGTCACCACCACCGTTATTACCACCACCATCACCATTACCGTCACCACCACCGTTATTACCACCACCATCACCACTACCGTTCATCACCACCACCACCGTTATTACCATCACCACTACCACTACCGTCATCACCACCACGCCCCATCACCACCACCAACTACGCCACATCATCACTCCTCCACACAAACCTGTCCAATTCCATCCGTCCCCAGTGAACAGAATACGATCAACATCATCTGCTCGTGCGGAATCTTGCTAGGGTTGTTACGTGTCGTCGTCAATGTTTTAATTGCTTTGTTCAACACATCCGCGTCGAATGCAGTCTCGTCACGCTTGCCTGCCCCACTACAAGCGAATGAAGGCCATTTTTCTCCCGACTGCTGTTACACTCAACGCCGAATCCTGAAATTTATTAAGACAATAGGTGTGTGTAAATATAAACAAAAGGAATATGATTTCGACTCACCCATTGCAGGACCTTGATAAAGCCCAAGGGTTCTTTGATGATTCGAAAACGACCCTGAGCCACTAACTATACAATTAAGACACAAGGAAAAAAACAGATAATGGTTAGTGTATAATAGTCAAATAAATGTGTGCACTGTACACATTAAAATCTACAACGATCCAATTCGGTGGGTTACGTCGCTACAGTTATTAGCGTAAATCGATAAAAAAAATTAATCATCTGCAACCATCCATTAGAAATATAGAACCGATTGCGCCAAGTAAACATTGCATGTTGTAATATCGAATACAGGAAACCAATGCGTGTAATAATATTGATGATTATTGGTCTTGCAGATATTTGAAAAAAAGATCTGCATCGACGTTGTCAAACATTGTCAAACATCACGTGGCAATTTGTGTTGTTTAGCCTTAGCATAAGTGATCAAACAAAAATTAAACAGCCATTCAATATGCTTAGACTGGCCAAAGCATCCTCTCTCCATAGCTACAATGAACAGCGCTGCGATGGAGATGTCCTACATTGTGTCACCGTCTCACACACGAACACATCTATCGAGCGGACAATAACATTTTCATTTTTTTAATCTAAAAAAAAACGTGCAACATTAATCCAACCATTGGCTAGAGCTTCCATACACACGCACACATGTAATTATATTAAACCTGCAGCAACGCAGCACATTTGCGGTTACATCACAGAAACGACCGCTGACACTACTACTGCTACACAAAAACCGAATTCTATTTTCCAACCATTCCTCGTCATCCTCTCTGCCTCAGCTTTTCTCTTCCCTCCACGCATTACATTTGCTGCGATTACATCTTACGGAACCATCGAATCCCACCTGATTCACATCCATAGCTGCTGGTTGCTGCTGCTGCTGCTGCAGTGGGTGGCTGTGTGGGCAGTGTGCGCGCTTCGTGTGTAGGACGACGCTGCTGCTCGATTTTCCCACCGCTTCGTCGCCCTAATCCGCCCTCAAAACCACCCCCTCCCTGTCGCCCGTGTGCTGGATGCCAAATTCTTATCGCTCGTTTTTTTTATTTTTCCAACGTCACCACGGAAGCCTTGCCCCTTCGCCCTCCCTCCCTTCCTCCCTCCCGCGCGGCGTCCCCCGGCACGAACACAGCGGGCGGGCGGGCGGGAGCGCAGCCGGCGGCTTGTGACGGCGGCAGAGGCGGCGATGGTTTGATTCCCACGTGGGTCCCCGCTGTGATGGAGGCAGCGGGTGGGTTCACCACTCGGTTTACGCGGAGGGGGGTTGCGTTCTTGAAAGACTCACGGCGTAACTCGCGAGATCACGTACGTTAAAAGGTAAAATATAAAAGGCAAAATGTTCACCATAAGAAGTAAATGAAATGGTTTGGGGGGGGGGGGGTTTGGGAGAGCACGCTATAGAACCTCACTCTTACGTCTACACATTTCACTGGTTACAGTAACATTTACAATACTACCACACGCGTATTCAAGATAGTAACACACACCTGTCAACCCACACGGTGTACCCGGGTTCTTGTACAGGGAAATTGAGTTTTCAGCTCCATACGGCGTACAGCCGTTAAAAAGAAAAAAAATTTCCGTGAATTTTTTTGTCTATTTTTTGTGTTTCTCCCTTGTAATAAGTGTGCAGGATGCACGTTGTGGTTTATAAGGGCACGGGGTGACCAATAAGGTCTGAATTGGTCTGTAATAAGGTAGGCACTCTTAAGTGGTTGATAGGTATGGTAACAGCCTATTTAAATACATAAAGTAAAACTAAAAGATGTTTTAACACGTCGTGAGCTGCTTACTGGACATATTGGTAGGTAAATGTGTGACAGGCGGACCAGATCTTCAAAATGGCATTGACAAGGAGATGCCGACCGATGCGCGTTGTGGTTGCTGTCAGTACTGCCACTGCACCTCGGGCAGCATCGCTGCTGAACTTTGCTGCCAGACGAACGCGTTCCATACACCGTGGCAAACGTGCTGTGGCGCGTTACTTCAACAATAGTGCGCGCATAACAAAGAAATAAACGTACATTAATGTAACGCCACATTTCAACATCGCGTCACGGAAACGTGTGTAAGACGCGAGGCGACTGTACACCCCCCACCCCACCCCGGTTAACGTCGGGGGGGGGGATGCGTTCCTGAAAGGTGCGACGTCAACGACGAATATCGAAACGACGTCTAAGCGATGTACAGGGTACGGTGGTGAAGGCGAAGGCTGAGAGAGGCGACGGATAACGAGGAAGGACAGACGACGACGCCGTCAGCGACGTGTGGGGTGAGGCGACGCAAATCAGGTAGCGGCGTTCATAATGTGACGACGCGAAACCACACCAACACACCCTGCCAGCTTCTCCACTGCTAGCCTCTCACTACACACTCTGCTAGCTTCTATACTGCTAGCCTCTCACTATACACTCTGCCAGCTTCTCCACTGCTAGCCTCTCACTGTACACTCTGCTAGCTTCTCCACTGCTAGTCTCTCACTGTACACTCTGCTAGCTTCTATACTGCTAGCCTCTCACTATACACTCTGCCAGCTTCTCCACTGCTAGCCTCTCACTGTACACTCTGCTAGCTTCTCCACTGCTAGTCTCTCACTGTACACTCTGCTAGCTTCTCTACTGCTAGCCTCTCACTATACACTCTGCTAGCTTCTATACTGCTAGCCTCTCACTATACACTCTGCCAGCTTCTCCACTGCTAGCCTCTCACTATACACTCTGCTAGCTTCTCCACTGCTAACCTCTCACTATACACTCTGCTAGCTTCTCCACTGCTAACCTCTCACTATACACTCTGCTAGCTTCTCCACTGCTAACCTCTCACTATACACTCTGCTAGCTTCTCCACTGCTAGCCTCTCACTATACACTCTGCTAGCTTCTCTACTGCTAGTCTCTCACTATACACTCTGCTAGCTTCTCCACTGCTAACCTCTCACTATCCACTCTGCTAGCTTCTCTACTGCTAGTCTCTCACTATACACTCTGCTAGCTTCTCCACTGCTAACCTCTCACTATCCACTCTGCTAGCTTCTCTACTGCTAGTCTCTCACTATACACTCTGCCAGCTTCTCCACTGCTAGTCTCTCACTATACACTCTGCCAGCTTCTCCACTGCTAGCCTCTCACTGTACACTCTGCTAGCTTCTCCACTGCTAGCCTCTCACTATACACTCTGCCAGCTTCTCCACTGCTAGCCTCTCACTATACACTCTGCTAGCTTCTCTACTGCTAGCCTCTCACTATACACTCTGCTAGCTTCTCCACTGCTAGCCTCTCACTATACACTGCTAGCTTCTCTACTGCTAGCCTCTCACTGTACACTCTGCTAGCTTCTCTACTGCTAGCCTCTCACTATACACTCTGCTAGCTTCTCCACTGCTAGCCTCTCACTATACACTCTGCCAGCTTCTCTACTGCTAGCCTCTCACTATACACTCTGCTAGCTTCTCTACTGCTAGCCTCTCACTATACACTCTGCTAGCTTCTCTACTGCCTCTCACTATACACTCTGCTAGCTTCTCTACTGCTAGCCTCTCACTACACACTCTGCTAGCTTCTCTACTGCTAGCCTCTCACTATACACTCTGCTAGCTTATCCATTGCTAGTCTCTCACTATACACTCTGCTAGCTTCTCTACTGCTAGTCTCTCACTGTACACTCTGCTAGCTTCTCCACTGCTAGCCTCTCACTATACACTCTGCTAGCTTCTCTACTGCTAGCCTCTCATTATACACTCTGCTAGCTTCTCCACTGCTAGCCTCTCGCTATACACTCTGCTAGCTTCTCCACTGCTAGCCTCTCACTACACACTCTGCTAGCTTCTCTACTGCTAGCCTCTCACTACACACTCTGCTAGCTTCTCTACTGCTAGCCTCTCACTGTACACTCTGCTAGCTTCTCTACTGGTAGCCTCTCACTGTACACTCTGCTAGCTTCTCCACTGCTAGCCTCTCACTACACACTCTGCTAGCTTCTCTACTGCTAGCCTCTCACTATACACTCTGCCAGCTTCTCCACTGCTAGCCTCTCACTATACACTCTGCTAGCTTCTCTACTGGTAGCCTCTCACTGTACACTCTGCTAGCTTCTCCACTGCTAGCCTCTCACTACACACTCTGCTAGCTTCTCTACTGCTAGCCTCTCACTATAC